TTTGCTTTTTATAGATTTTTGGATCAGAATGTGAATTTGCAAAGGTAGGTTTTCTATGCTGACTTGTTTAGATGCAAAATACCAAAGATAAAACTTCACCTCAAGGATTCCTGGGCCCTTATTCTTCAAGCTTGGACTCTGCAGTTAATTAAACCAAAGCTGGATGTGGTATGTGGCATGGGCCAGAGTCTGATGAAGGATGCTCAGCCACAGCATGACTTATTTTCATTAAGTTGTGCATAAGCACATTGTGAGGATAAACAGAACAGCACTTGAAAACTTTATCTTGTACTTTGTGCAGTTTCTGTCTCCCAACTGCTCCCTGCTGGACTGTGCACAGGCCCTGGCAGCTCCCATATGCTCTGAGCATCCCAGCTGTGCCCCAAGATGCTTCTGTGGGGAAAAAATGATCAGGCACATGGAAAAATCATTGGACAGTGGCAATGTCCTGCTCTGGCTTGGCAGGGCTGAAGATGCACTCGTAAATGGAAACTGTATTTTTAGGGCTTTTTGTATCTGGCACCTGTTAATAGGGTCAAGATGATTCATACAGGATGACATAAGCCTTCTCCCTGAAAGACTTTTAGTTTTTTTTTATATATATATATATTTACATACACACACACTATATGTATATGTATGCTATATGTATACATTTTAGGATTTAGGACCAGAAAAATGCAAGAACCATCACAGCCCTGTCTACTGATTTCCTGAACTGAACTAAGTTTCTCTCTTAAGCTCCAAACTAAGCTGGAGCCTGTAGTTCAAAAATGGTTTTGAGCGTCATTGTTTTTATAGCATGGAAGTGGCATCTTCTCTACTTACCACTGTACTACTTCTGAGGATAATTTTAGATAAATACATATATATTCATTCCCTGGCAGGCAGGGTTTGGGTTTTGAGTTGTTTTGTTGGTTATTTTTTGTTTTGTTGGAATTTTGTTTGTTTGTTTTTTAAGAAGTCGGGGGTTTTTTTGTTGTGTGGGGTTTGGGATTTTTTTTTGTTTGGTTTGGGTTTTTTTGTGTGTGGAGGGTGTGGTTTGGTTTGTGTGTGTGTGTGTTTAAGCAATTTTAAGTTGAATTTACTTAATCTCCCATTGCAGAGCTGAAGGGAAGACCTGGTCACCCCCTGTTCTGGAAGATGGCAAGGCTCAAGCATACCGGATCAACATAGAGCCAGAGCCGCAGGTATGGCAGCAGCAGCCCTGCATGCAGGCTGGTCTCCCAGCTTGATTTTCTGGGAAGAGGATGTCTATGTCTGGAATTTGTAAAGCCCTCTGCTCTGCCTGCAGGCCTTCCAGAGGTTAAGGAGTTTGTTTGCCTGGGTCTGTTTACACCTGCCCTGGCCGACCTGCCTCTGTCTTGGCTGCTTCCAAAATCCACCGCACCCTCTGGATCCCATGGCAGTGATTCACTTCATGTGGTGGTGGATTTTTTTTAATAGTTTCTTTTCTTTTTCTGTCTCATCCCTTTCTCTACCTTCTCTCTACTTTGCAGTTTGTCGATTTCCTCTGTTTTCAGCTTTTTTTCCTGCCAGCACTCTGCCTGAACTGAACAGATCTCCATCCTTTGTACCCATCTCTTGACTAGTAGCTTGGTAGCAAGGTCGGAGATGATTCTAGTTCACCTTTGGCCTCTCAAGGGAAAAGGGTGCTGCCTCATTCCTCCCTCTCTGCCTCCAAACTAGCTGGCTGTTGGGTGTTTGGATGTGCTGGTCCACATGCATGCTGTAGAGGTGTCTGGAGAATGAGAAGGGGATAGGGCAGGGGGAAACTCCTGCTGTCTTGCTTCTCTGCAGATGGGTGCTGAGATGATGCACATTTCTTTACTGGTCAAGCATTGGAAGAGGCTGCCCAGGGAGGTGGTGGAGTCACCATCCCTGGAGGTGTTAAAAAAACATGTAGGTATGGCACTTCGGGACATGGTTTAGTGGACATGGTGGTGTTGGGTTGACAGTTGGACTTGATGATCTTAGAGGTCTTTTCCAACCTTAATGATTCAATGAGTCTATGATTCTATAACATAAGTATGTGAGGGTGTGCCTATTTCACAAGGCACACGAGGTAATGGATGGCAGGACCAAAGCCTGCTGAGACTTCTCACTGCTGCAGGTTGGCCAACCCCTCCCAGAGCTGTGACAGAAGCACCAGAGCTGCCTACAAGCTTTGGAAAATAAAAGTACATCAGTTCAGGCTGACAAAAAAAATCTTGTGTTTGCCATAGCAATGTGGGAGCACTCTTGTGCTGAAGCTGAGAGTTCAAATATTGCTTATGTGGTTTCCTTCTCTGCAAAGGTGGCTTGCGTTTTGGGCTGTTTTGTGAGAGGTTTTTCTCCAGTGCTCCCAAAGTGCCCATGTGTGGATTCTGGTGGCTCGGCTCTGCTGCTCGCTTCTAGAGGTGGCTCTTGAGTGTCCTGACAAGGGTCCCAAGGTCCCCTCACAGCCCTCCCTTGGCTCAGTCCAGAAGGAATACAAGACCTGCAAGAAGGAAGAGGGCAGGATGGGGTTGTGTTGAGTTGATGCTACAAGGAGTGGCATTGGCATTGTTTCCCTCTGAGTTAGCAGGGAGAGAGCACTAGCAGCAGAGATGTCACCAAATGACAAGGGTGGGGGTGAGGTTCTCCAAGCAGCCACTATGGCCCTGTGACAGATCAGTGGGATTTGCAAATATTTTGTATTACATCCCTGGGGCAGTGGGGAGTGTGGCTGCAGAATGGTGACACCAACAAACCTACCCTGGTATCATACATGAGCAATTCACGGGTCTTTCCTGTGCTGATTGACAGAGCAGGGTGATCTGTGTGCTTGTGCTTTGAGTTCTGGCCATATTTGCTTCATTAATCAATTACGGCAATCTTTTTTTGACAGATATTTTTTCTTAATAGGCTTTGATGTGCCCAAAACCCTATGAATAATATTAAATAAGGACCAAATGTGCAGCAGTTCCGCTGCCAGATACAACATTTCTGAGGTTTAATGCAGATTGGATTTGAATCTGACTATTAATATATGTTACATATGGATCTTTTTAAAAATTAGACAGTTACATATAATATAATGAGGGGGTAGGGATAGATTTTCCTGAATCCAGACCTACACTGGGAATGTCTAGACCCATGGAATACTCAGTGAATGAAGCAGATGTGGTTATGGCAAGGCACTGAAAGAGCTATATGAGCATGAACATGCAGGTATAGCCAGAAAGTTCCCACTCTTGCTCTCTTTTTCAGTCTGTATCTCCACCTTGTCGTGCTTGATGGCTTTTCTCGTCTCCCAGGGAGGAGGTGAAGGAGATACCATGTGCACATTAGAGTATTCTTGCTGTGGTTGCACCCTAGATGTGCTGCTTGACTTTTCTCCCTCCCTAAACCACCTGTGCCTTGAGTGTGGTTCACGCTGGCTGCTTGGGGCACGTGCCAGTAGCTGTCCTGACCCTTGCATCATTGCAGTCGTCTTCTGACATGCACGACACTAAGGGCGATCATCAGCACCCAAGAGTGGAGTCCATTGCAGCAGGCATCCTGTCCCCCAGCAGCAGAGATCCCGGTCACAGCTCAGTCCCCTATGAGCAGTGCCATGTGGCTGGGCTGTCCTGTGCTGTGTTCATTTAGCTCCCGTAGCAAAGGCGCTTGTAAAACGCTGAGAAAGAAAAGGCTCATTGTAAAGTCATAGCTTGGCTCAAAATGTGCAACCTTCAGGTGCACTTCCTCGCAGCTGGAAAAAAGCAGTCTGCTTTGAAACATGGGGAGAGAGGGGAATTCTGCTGGAATTCTGCCCTCAAATCATAAAGATCGGTTTGGGGTTGCCCTTGAAAGGGTTTTGAGAGTTTTACCCCAAGTGGCCTTTCCAGTAATGTGGAGCATATGTCTTTCCTTCCTCCAGGTTTTACTCTATCAACTTTACCATCATCCTGGGCAAAGATGTCATGAAAGTCTTCACTTGTGTCTACAGTAATTCCTGGTGGGGGCCCTGAAATGTGTGAACATAAGCAGAATGCCTAAATCTGTGCAATTTCTAGGAAAGCACGTACCCTCCGATTACATTTTAGTTTATTTAGGTGCAGTTTTTGTCTTGAGGCTTGCAGTTATCTTTTGTGCAAGAAGATTTGGAAGGTATGGACCACCTGATGAGCTCTCCTCTCTTTCCACATCCGTTGTGGCTTGTCAGTTGAGCTTTGTGGAAAACCCCTACTCAGCGACCAAAAATGTAATCAATCCTCCTTATTAAATCTTTGATTAATGCTATGACTGCAGGGGATAACTGCTCTCATGACTGAAAAAGCTGGAAGTGAAGGGAGCTGCTTGTTCAGAATTAGCAGAAACGACACTGAACAGGATGATCGTGAGTCACCTTCGTGAAATAATACTTATTCAAAGTCTGCCTTTTTTTTTTAATCAGTTGGTTACAGCATACAAGGCTGTTGTTAACAGCAAGGGTCTTGTAGAGGAGAACGCAAATTCAGTGATGTTCAAACTTGTATCCTTTATAATGGAGGGCTGTTTGTCTGCCAGACCTGGTCAAGAGTGATGGTAGGACCCATGGGGATGCTGTGGGGCAGCTTGGTGCTTTCTAGCCAGCAGTGCCATCACATGAAGTCACAACTCCCATCACAGAGATGTGACCTCACTGCTGACATGTTGGGATCTCCGGTCTTGCTTTGCCACCAGCTCCTTGCCCAGTTTTGGTGTTGCTATGGGCACTTCACAGCTGTCCCTCCCTGGCAGATGAGGGGAGCGGGAGCATCAATCAATCAGTTTCTGGAAATCCTGCTGTCTTCAGCTTCTTGTAGTGTGAGCTCACTAGTCAAAATACTGCCATGTGGTGCTAATAAAAGGAGAGGATGTTTGTTTTCTTGACCGTTCCCATGCTGCCAAAATTGGCAGTTTTCTGGCCTGAGGGGGGCTGGGAACTTGGGCTGTGGGGCAGAGCCCCCTCTGTACTAACTGACAGTAGATCAAGTGTCTGGGTGGGAGAATAATTGCAGCAGAAATTAAATTGGCAGTGTGTAGTTGGAGCTGGAATAGGATGCAAGTCCTCCCAAACCTGGGCGCTTGGCTGAAATAAGCTACATGGGGTGAGAGGCTGGGGTGAAAGGCTGGGTTTCCTCTGGCTGTCCGGACAGGGAGAGGCACTTCCCGCAGGCAGTCATCAGCCCCTTCCCTGTGGGAATGGCATCCCAGTGCCACCCTGTCGGCAGAGTGGCCCCCATGTTGGTGTCCCCTTCTCATGGGGAGGGATGGGGACAGTGGGTTGATGCTCCGAGTCCTGCACTGTGCCCCATGAGCTGGGGCTTCCTGAGCCCCACAGCCCAACTGAGGGGTGAGCTCTGAGCAGTGAAGCGAGGGTCTTTTTTTATTAAGGATTTGATTAATTGCCTCCAAGTATTGCTTTAAGTTCTCACTGGACTGGTGTTGTGCAGGAAATTTCCACGTACGTCTTTGCAAAATCACGGTATGGGCCACCCTTATTTTTGTGAACCGGGGGTTAAGGTCTCCTTGCTGGAGGGGTGGAATTTCCTTTCCCAAGGTGACCGACCTTCCTTCCTCTTCTGGTGTGGTGGGATGGGCCACGGCTGCTCCTGAGAAACCTCTGGCTGGGACCCCCTGCTTCCCATCCAGCCAGCCCAGCCCTCATATGGGCATCGACTGGTGCTGTCAGAGGAAGGACAGGGAAAATGTCTGTCTCGTACTTTTGGGAAAACAAAGGATGAGATAATGCCCTGGCAAGCAAATGGGTTCCCGTCATGTGGGAACTCCCAGCACGTTGTTTGAGGACTGATTTAATAGCAGAAACATGCGGGTACTCAGGCAGCATTTCACACTCAAATATCAGGGGTTTATACACCATCAAAATCTACTGATCTGATTAACTGGGTGAAGAGGTTACACACAAGTTGGTGTGCGCTTGTGTTTATTTTTTTCTTGTGATATAATATTGAATCATGTGAAAGTAAAGGAATTTTCTCAGTACCACTGTAAGGTGTTGAACTGGTATAGCTGTAAACTTTTATGTGAAGTCCTCTATATACCTCTTATATGAATCAGCATTTTTTTTTTTCAAAGTGAGCTTCAGTAATCCTGGTAGACGAAAGGGAAAAGAGCAATCAGAGGATAAAGAGGGGGAGGGGGGCAGAAGGGAATGGAAACTTAAAAATGGTGTTTTCTTTCTTTCTTGCAGCTAACTTGAATA